TTGTAATGTTTCAAGAAAGAACAGTGAAAATTTGGTTGATTAGTATATCTTGACATAATACTTATTTGGTTCCATGTCACCCAACGATAAAAATTTGGTACCAGCATAGCTGACTTATTGGCTGATTAATGGCTAATTTATCTGTCTTAATTTCTTATTTTACTGACTTATATGTCAGCACCAACAAGAATTGTGAAAGAAGTAACAACCAAAAATCTAAAACTTTTTAGTGAAAACACTTTAGCCATATGAAAACTGATTAGCTTCTTTTTGCCCAAATACTCACTTGTCAGAAAGAAAAGATGCATGAATTCGACAAAATGCTTTTCGTTTTCCTTCAACGTCTATATTTTTTACTTTCCATCAAATTAATTAACCAATAACTCTTAAAAACAAGGAAAAAAAGTAGTTTTTTGTTTTCCAAACTTTGATGTTTGGAAATTTGTTGAAATTTGTTGACTATAGCTTTCTCCCCTATTCTCCCCTCTCTGTTTTGTCGCCTTTTTGCCCTTTTATCATCACTATTACGCAACAGCACGCTTACCGATGCGATGAAATTATGAATGTATCAGGTTCTGCTATAAACACCTACAAATTTCTGCTTTTTACTTCAACAATTTATAAAACTTTCTTTCCGTTCAAAAATATTCGTCAGAGTGAGGACCAAAAGAGTCAGCACAGAGTTTCCGAAGTGACACCGTCCTAAGCACTTCACCAGTTTGATAATTGGAACCTAAAAGTCAAAAGCCCACAACAGGGTATTTTTAAATGTCACCAAAACAATTCAGATTTTCCAATGAAAATTTTCAAACGGCATGAGAGTTTGCTGAAGGGTAAGGTAGACAGAGCAGAATTTCATATTCACATTTCTCAATCTGTTCACGAACTTCTAGAGAGGCAATCTTGCACTATTCTGCATTGGTAATAGTTCATTCCCCATAAGCTTTAAAAGCAACTCCCTCAGATTCTTATACCTAACTTTCAGTTTTGAACAGTAACTTTCAGCAGTAACGCTTACATTTGTTTAGAAAGTCTTCCTGATGTACTTCATAAATACTTTACCATTTGATTACGATGCAGCTGATATCTTTCTTCTGGTTACCACTTTTTAGGCTGTCACATTGCATCATTTTCCTTTTGAAAGACTAGTTTGCACATTCCGATTTTCAAAGCATCCCCTTTTTGCAGTCTTGAAGTAGAACTGTCCAGCGCTAGATACACGTCATCCTTTTCAATTCGATTAGAACTCATGAAGTACCCAATGTTCAAGCTCTTTGCTCTTTTTTGTATTGAACGTAAGTGCAAATTGATTGCTTAATTTAAAGCTTCAAGTTTTAAAGCCGCGCTACGAGCACTCCCTTCTGAATTAACCTCCACAACTGCTCTTAATTTAAGTAATTGTCAGGGTGGGATAATTTTTCCGGAAGATGCAAGTTCACCAGTGATTCATCGTCGTTCGCAAACTTTGCAAACCATACTCGTACGGTCCAGTATGTTAGTGAAGGCCTCACAACTGATCCCTTGAATGCTGAATTGGTTATAGCAGCATCACTTACTTTTCTCTGCAGCCAAACGGGAAATTTTAAAAAAGGCGGCTTTTAACCAAAATAAAAGTTTTAGGTAGGAATCCAGTGAGAAAAAGGAAAAGCGTAATGGGAAAAAGATAGAAAAAAAGCTTTTTACCTGTTCATATCTACTTTTCATGTTGTGCGTCAACCTTTAATAAAATGTTCGCCACCTAGAAAGGTCTAGAAGTTAAAGTTGCAGTTTATTAGGTGTCTATGATCTACCTAATACATGTGTTTCCATGTCTTTATCTGTGCTTGCTACCAATCTGTTTTCAACTTTCTCTCCCAGTATCGTTGATTCGTAACCTCAACGATGATCGGTGCGTAAAAGGAAAAGTTCTTGCAAAGTCAGTGAGAAGAAAAAAGGTAACTGCAACCAAGGATGCTAGTAAAAACAAAAATTGTCTAGTAAGAATTGAAGGGATCAAAAAAATAAAATAAAATAAAATATTTACATGGCGAAATTATTATGAGTACTCAGTTTTATAAGTGCCATCGACCAATAAAGTAATCAAAATGTTGTTGCATCTTTCAAATTTTTTTCTGTTATTCTCCAAATTTCTTTTTCTCCATCTGAAATTCAACAAATTTGCATTTGTTCGTTGCTATTCTTTTATTTTTTTTCGCGTGTTTGCAAGTAAGATAAAGATGTTTGAATCGGTTGAACGGTTCCGAAAATAGCATTAGCAGTAGAAAATAGAAAAAAAATGAAACTTTTTTGCAGCAGTTTCAAAACTAGCAAATAAAAGCTGTTAGTTTACTGGGCTCATTCCCTGTTCGACAACAAAAGACTTATTGCAGTGATAATTAGCAGAAGCCATTCAGATGATGACGTTTCAAATTTGTTAGTTTTATGACTTCTCTTTATTAACTCTTCCTCACAGTATAAATCAAAAATATAGCAGTATTTTTTTAAAGCTTTAAGCTTCCTTGTTCCTCTGTCGTTTCTATTTCATGCCACATTTGCCTATTCAATGGAATAAAAGAAAGAAATTTCTGCTGCCTACAGGTGACTAAAAAGTGTCATCATAAAGCCAAAAAAAAAATTAGAGAGCCTTATGACTTAACTGTTTGGTCTTCTTGTCAAGTAAGTCAAAAAAAAAGTTCTTCTTTGCTTTGCTCTGCTGTTAAGAACAGCGAGAATAAAGAAGCGACAAAGAAGAAAGAAGAGGAAGAATTAAAGATTTAAGAGGTAGAAAAATGAGTATATTGGGGGAAGAAAAACTAAAAATCAACCCTAAACTGTTTATTAGTTTGGCTAAGTCAGCTGACAAAAAAAAACTTCTTTATTGCATTGTCTGTTTGTAAACTGATATTTGTCCAGCCTCGTTTACTTTTGAAAAAGCTAAAATAAAAAAAAAGGAACAAGGGGACAAAGAGAACAACCCCCCTTTTTGTTGTTTTTCTCATTTTTTTCATTTACTTTTGTTTTTTCTTCTCTCACTGTTTTGCTACCTTGCTGCTGAAAAAAAAAAAGTAGATCATGAAAGAAAAAATGCATGAAGCTGTCGTATAGAAAGAAAACAAACTTTAATCCCTGCGGAGTAACCAATACCATTTTTAAGATTATAAGTGCAAAATGAATGATTTTTGCAGCATTTTTAAAAATAAGCAAAGAAAAAATAAAGTAAAAATGATTTAAATATATAACTCTTTTCATTGAAAAAACAAAAAAAATTATTTTCTGAACTGCAGTTAAATCAGAATAAGATTAATCGCCAATTAATTAAACACTGAAGACGATTTATTCGATTGTTATTGCTCTTAATAAGCAAAATAGTACATTAGGTTTACTAAGCAAAAGTTTGGATCGGCACATTCCTTTATCATCTGCCAGACTACATACAGCATTAAATCAATTTGTGTGATTTTTTCTTCTCTGACTACTTTTACTACACAACAACTAATCTTTATAGACCCAAAAAGGTCAATCAACATAATTTGATCAGACCACCAGTTTCAAAAATAGACAAGAAAAAAAAGAAAATCAAAGAAAAAAAGCGAAATTTTTCTTTTTGTATCTTGAAGTCTTTGTTTGACAGCTAATTAATTGTCAGTCAAAAGATATGCCTCTAAAAGTGACCATCTTTTGTGCGGTACATTAATTTAATAGCGGTGTAATCATTTTCTGGTATAAATTTTCTAATCAATATAAATTTTTGATGGCAACTTTTGTTTGGCACTTATTGCGCAAGAAATCAGACCACTACAGTGAATGATAGTCACCATTAAACTACAAAAGTCTAACCACTTATTCATTTAATTTTGCAGCTTTGTAAATGAACAAATTGAAGAGTGTTTCTGTTGAGCAATAAATGTATCAAAAGTTATTGGTATACGAAAAGCTGAGCTTTTGATTTTTAACCTCTTTCTTTTTTCTTTTTTAGCAACAGACAGTTCTATTGAGACAAACTGTACAATTAAGGATTTAGAAGTTTAGCAGTTGCATATATTTTTGAAATTATCATAGCAAACAACAGACAGTTTCTTGACGTCGGCAGCAAAACTGGACGCTAGAAAACTGAAATATGAACCTGACACCTGATAAAAATGTAAGCATCTACTTAGATTGTTGATTAAAATTAAGTTAATTATTACCGACAGCTTTTTTTTGCTAAACTGTAACAAATAATTTGAAACAATCAGTTTCTGAAAGTCTGTTCAGATCAATCGGCGAAGGATGAACTGTTAAAGAAGCATTAATTTTTAAGTGTTTATTTGACAGTTCTTTATAACGTTTATATTACGTCAGTACTTTAACAAAGCTACAATTTTTTTTTTTTGACTTCTCATCTACATTCTATTTTCAATTCTCTGGTTTCTGCTCAACAGTCAACTCATCATTTTCTTTGCTGTAATATTTACAGTTTTTAAATTACTCTACGAAAAGCCTTAAAAAAAATAGGTGAAAAAAAAAAGCCCAAAAAAAAATTTTTTTTTCAGTCAAATATGGGTGACTTGTTTTTCGATGACTGACTGTAGTGAATGAATAACAGTCATAAACTGATAGGCTTTGTTCAGCAGCAATTCACACTGTCAACCATTAACTATGCATTCACGAAAAAAAAAAGAAAGAAGCTAACCATAAAAAATAGATAGAAAGCGGCAAAAAAAACTATCAAAATATCTGTCAATAACTATACGTTACTAACATTTTATCAGCAAATACTATCAGCCATAAATGAAAACTATTTAAACTTTTTTTCTGGTATAATACTTCTGTCAGTTATTTAAAAAATCTCACTTTACTTCATCAGATACTTTTTTCAATATTTTAAAAACAAAAAAATTGCTTTTAACTAGAACTGAGCTCGAAAAAAAATTGAAAAGCTGGTAAAATTGAGTTAATGTTTACTTATTCGGTAAAATCTGCTTTATTCTTGAACAATATTACTGTTAGCGGTAAATGACTGTTGTAAGTATAACTGAATCATGAAGCTGTGTTTCACCTACAACAGGAAAAATTTTTTGATACTGTTAATTGTTGCAATTATTCTTTTAGTTATATCACTATTTCTGTTTATTATTTTTCCAATAATTTTCTCAACTCTTGTCGAAAAGGTATTATTTACATTACATATGTTCATAAAATTTAGTTTAATTTTTTTTATTTTACAAAACTGTTCTATTAGTAAAAATAGGAAATTTATAATCAAATTTTTTGTTATTTGAACTTTAAAGATACTTTATTAATTTGTGATTATTTATAAAAATAAAATTAAACACCGATAAGTAGGCAATTACCCGAAACTCTTTTAGAATCTCGTTTTATCGGTTGGTAATGGAGAATATCCTTCACAGGCAGCCTTCTTTTGGTCTAAACCACCAGCTGATACAATTCTCTATTTTTACTATTTTAATGTTACTAATCCGGATGAGGTAAATATCCGTTGACATCTTCAGCTTTTTGCTGTTATTGGTAATTTATTTATGGAACAAAACAAAAACGGAATCAGAATATTTGACTTCTTTGCGTAACATATGGCACTTACCTTTTCCACAAAGTCAACCTGCAGTTCTTTGTCGTCAACCCATTTATTTCAATTTTCTTACTGTCTTCTTTTCCAGATATTATATTATGGCGAAAAACCTGTGGTTAATGAAGTTGGCCCGTACGCAGTAAGGTAATACTGGTAATACTGTCAAAATTTATATTAACAAATATCAACTTTATGATTATTTTTCTTTAAAAATTTCTTAAAATTTCTAAAAAAAAAATTTTTTTTTTGGTAGAAATCAGTAAAGAATTTAGTTTAAAACTTTAATATGAGATTTATAATCAAAAGTTTATTTGGTATTTAACTATCAGTGGTTTAAATCGTAATCTGTTTCTGCTGGTCTCTCTATAGTACACTGAAATAAAGTAACATAGTGTAAACAAATAAAACAAAAAAAAAAATTTACACTGTAAAAAAAAAAAGAATTTTTTTTTTTCTTTCAACGAACCAAAACAAATTAGCGATCAAAGAAAAAAGACAGTAAATTAACTGTGTAATTGTTAAAAACAAATCAACAACAACAAAATAAAGAAAAATCAAATGAAAAATTAATTTAGTTGCTTTATACACTGGCTATTTTCTTCCAGTTCGCCCACCTTTTTCTCCTCTTTCTTCTTTTGTTCTTTCCTATTTGAACAAATAATTCGAAGTTAAAAAAGCAAAAGCAAAAAGAGGCTTTTGAAATTGAAACAGTTATTTTATTGGTTTTCATTCGCCAAAAAAACTGCTTCTTTTTTCCCTGTTTCCCACTCCGCTTATTTTCATGGCACTTTTTGGAAGTATAACGGTGTAGACTTCTGAAGATAGAGGACAAATCTGTTATTTTCTTTATTTTTCCATTCTTTTTCTATTTTTCTCTTTATCAAATATCACAAGTAAAGTAATTCAATTTTTAAGACCATTTTTAAGCCATTTAAAAAAAACTTATTGCTTGTTTTTTTTTTCTTGCTTAAGTAATAACATAAAATAGGAATTGATTAATAGTTAACACTATCAATATATTTAGCCGTGTACTGGCATTTGCACTATTCATTACTGCAGTTTCCGCTCTACTACTGCAACGTTACTGATAAGAACATTCAGCAGAGTGCAACAAAACAGTAATAACAACAACAACCAAAATACAAAAAGCCCTACAGAAAGCTAAAAAATAATTTGTCTAACCTTTTTTCTTTTTTTTTTTTTTTTAGGGAAACCGAGCAGAAACGTGAAATACGTTACCAAAAAAACGGTGAAGAAGTTTATTATGAAAATTATAAAAGATTTATTTTTGATGCAGAGCATTCCTGCGAACGATGCCAATCAGATGACTTAATTGTTGTTCCAAACGCTTTAGCAATGGTATTATACATGATAATAAATAAAGTTTCTAAGCTTATTTTCTGCAACACCTCTACTGATTGAGTCTTATAATTATCATCTAACTTAACTGTCTTGTCAATTACAGGCAAGTTAAATTTTACAGGGTGCCATAAGCAGTATGATAGATCCGGCGTATAGCTGCGACGATACGTGCAAATTGATAATTGACCTCGGTTTATTGCTGCTTGGAGAAAATGCATTCAGGTGTTGTGGTGATTTGGAATATTTTAGCAAACCACTAAACAAAATCATTTCATAAAGTCTCAACTCAAAACATTTGTTTATAACACAAAAAGAAAGCAATTATATATAATTTACTGCTTTCAAAATATGTATTATGTTAACTGTTAGGCAGAATCACTTCAATATATCATTGTCCCAATGAACCATACTGAAACTTTATGTTGGGAGACAAAAAATCATGACTTTTCAAAGGATTTCTTCAATGCTGTCAGCTCAGCGACGTTTTACAAAACTGTCACTACGACCTTCAATGTTTTAAGTTGGTACGGTTTTAGCACGGTGAAATTCCTGGAAGTAACGTATACTGGCTACAATGATCCGTTTCTAACGTTTGCGCATTCTGAGTTATTCACAGCACTGGGTAATTTGTTTAACAACGGCACGTCTATAGCACCCATCAGTATTCCAGAAATGGAACGTATGGCTTACTTTTATCAAGTACTGTTTTCCTGCTAGCTTCAATTTTTTTCCTTCCTTATCACTTCAAAGTTAAACTTATTTTAGAAAACTTACAACTGAGAATTGTAGAGTCTGGAATAATACCAGTCGCTAAAAAAAAACTTTCTTTTTTCAAACTGTTTCAAACTGTTCGTATTTCAGTACAATAACTCAAATGATGAAAATTATGTTGTGAAAACTGGCAAAGACGATATCAACAATCTTGGAACTGTGGTACAATGGGCAAACGATGGTCTTTTACCGAACACTTGGTGGAAGACCATTGAGGCTCGGATGATAAACGGATCAGGTTGTATTACTGAATCAACTGAACTTTCCTTTTAAAAATTTCGGATTAAGTATTACTTTTTATATTCCTATGTTATAACAAAAGCGTAAATTAATCGGCACTATTATTGTTCTCATTAATATATTTATCTTTGTTGTCCAACAGAGACCTGATTTGTGCTTTCATATTAAAATTAGCGTGATAATTTATAACTTTGTAATAAACCAATTATATTTCACCAGTAAGCGTAAACTTTTCTTTGAAATAATTTAAAACAAAACTTTTCATAAAAGCTAAAATTTCCAGAAAAATAAACTTTTACTGAAAATCACTATACTATACTGTTAAAATAACAAATTTCAGAAGCTGGTGGTTTTAGTGGTCCAAACCTGAAGAAAGACACTATTATTCCATTTTTCCAATCATTTATGTGCCGGTCTGCATTTATTTCTTATTTATTTCGATATCAGTATGTTTGTATCTCAGGCAATTATTACTCTTCGGCCTTTTTTAGATCGTTTTATGCTGTATTCAAAGAGGAATCGACAGTAAATGGCATTCCGTGTTATACGTTTGAAGTCCCGGCAGAAGCTTATGACACAACCAGAGATGAAAACGCTGGTTTTCGCTACAGAAATATGGAAAAAGTTAACTATTTTACGGAATGGGATCCGTGTCCAAAGTAATCAAGATATCTTCCAATATTTGTGCATAAACTAATATGTTATTCCTAAGTCGTACTTGAAAATAAGTGCTGTGTCTGCTCAAACGAACTTCAAAAGAATAAATTACAAGCACATTGAGGACTTAACTTTAACTCCGTTAAACGCCAAGTAAAATGATATGGTAAAGAGTTTCCAAATGTTTTTTAGCAAGACAATTCCTAAACCAGGTTCAGTTAACTGTACCGAATTTATTGACTGTTCAAAGCAAAAGAATTTTTGTGATCCGTGCTGTACCGGTAATTTTGTTGATGAAACGTATTTGCTACCACCCGGAATGTTCCCTCTAGTATGTTACCCAGGTTTGTTTTATTTTTATTAACAGTGGGATTTGTACTGTTTCTACGTCTTGCTAGCTAAGATAGTCTTGTTTACAGGCAGAAACAAGAGTGCTCCGTTTACGGCAATCTATTCTGCTCCACATTACTACTTCGCGCCTGAAGTTACTGTCAACACGCTTCGGGGGATGTCGCCACCAACCGAAGACCATAAACCATTTGCGTTTGACCATGAACCGGTAAATCATAACATAGTTAATGAACCGTTTACAATCTTGCAAAAACATTTTTTTTAGAATTCTGGTACGATCACTCGAGTAAAATATGCTTTGATGGCATCAGTTCCAATATTTCAAAACCAGGAAGCAACGTCAGTTTTAGGATTTTTTTCCATCTTCTTACTACTGTTTTAACTTGCTATAAAAGGTATTTAAATATATACAGTAATTTTTATTTCAGCATTTCGATGCACCTTCCTAACGTGATAATACCTCTCTTTTGGATTGATTCTCGAACACAACTCCAGGATTTTATGCTTGATACTCTTTATAATACTTTTGTTGTAATCCCGAAAGCGATTAGCATTACAAAATACGTCACTCTAGTTGTCGCCATAATCTGTTTTGCAATCTCATTCTGGTGCCGTTTTGAAAAGACAGCTAAAGAATCTCGTAAAAATTCGGCAAAGGGACCAGCGAGTAGACGACATTGTAGCCCTGATACGTCTGTCAATATGGAACAAGGTATTGCGGCAGGAGAAAACTTAACAACAGCTTCTGCAGTCGAGTCTCCCACTGAACAGATTATAACCGAGGAGCAGTAACTGTATCGCCGCCCACAAGTATTTCCCAAGTCTTGCTGGCAACCAAAAAACTCTTCATTACTTGGCAGCAGGTCTGCATAAAAATTATTGGTGACCTAGCGAACTTCACAGATCACGGGCTAAAGTGACTTACACTGTACGGCTGAACATCGTCAACAAAGGGACCCTTCATTGTTTCAAAGCCCAGATTAATTTGCATAAGTTATAAGTCTCAATAACGGTGCCGATGTAAAAAGTAGGTGCTTTAGCAAGCTTAAGCTCTGCTTGATTATCGGCAAGTCCAACATCCTCTTGAGTGCCTCAGTGGGAATATATGGGAATTAGTGTAAAAGTTAAAGTCGAATTGGAGTTTGTCTCAGGCGTGTACTTGTTAAACATATGTTTCCCACAGATAGACAAGTCGAATTTGTTTTGGTGTTTACTTGAAATTAGTAAAATTGCAATAAATAAATTCTTTATGCAAGACGTTTACAAGCATGGGCAGACGAGGCAACTGCTAAACATTTCTTAGTCGAATTTTGTTTGCAAAATTCTCGTCAAAGTCCTTTAAGGTACATAAAAGATTTGGTAGAATTTTTAGACAATTAACAAAGCAAATTAGATTTGTTTAACTTCAGATATTCCACTCTATTTTTCAAGACACCCTTTGCAAGTCCGTCTGCAAATCCTGTGAACTTGAGTAAACTGGTCAAACTGCGAACATTCCTAGCAGAGGTCCACCGTAGGTTACGGGTGCTACACTTCCGATATTAAATAACAGAAAGCGTGTTCTTGTTAGTGTAAGCAAAAATATTTAAGCTTCAATTTTATTTCTTTTCTTCTTAAACCTACTAATTACAGATACAGATTATTTCAAAAGTGATTTGGTGATTGAGCAGAATAAGTACAGATACGTCATTCAAATTCGCAATAACACATACATGCGCTTTACAAGCGGTAGTTAAACAGCAAACTTTAGTGAATAGCTAAGAACAATTAGATCGCTCGTTTTTGTTGGAAGTACTTCGTATTTCAAATAAATGCTTTACAGTTTTAGAAGCAAGCCAACGCTCAAGTAAACGATGACGTTTATTTAAAGTTAAAGACAGCCGTATTCTCATAACACAAAGGGACTGCGAGTCAGTTATAGTAACGGTTAGATATTTAAACGAGAAAATTCATAGTTCTAACCTTCCTGCAAACTAAATCCTGCATTGAACGCAAATACAGGTAAGTGGTGAGTCTCCTTTATGCTTCTACGGCTCACGGATAGTTTCAATTTACCCGTGAATGCATATGTACAAATGGGCAGTTGAAAGAAATTGGGTGTCAATTTGTAGCAGAAATGGCCAGACTAAAGTCACTTAAGAACCCTTTTAACCAAAATACACCCACCAAACCCACTTTTTGGTCGCCAACCGTCAGGCGTACAAATAAGCGTCGTCTGTCCACTGTTTATGTAGCCATTATTGCAGCTGAGAATAGCACTTGTACCAACTTTGTATTTGCTAGTTAGATTAGCTTGAATGTAAAAAACCTGTAAAAATAATTAGATACAATTTTTACTAATAATCATAGGTCTGAAACTACTACTACTGCTAAATTCTTACTCATAATTAATAAGTATAGTAATACTTTCGCATTGTTTGGTACGAATAAATACGGGCAACTGGAAGGATCTGGCAGGATATTTACAGGTTCGTGCTCACAATTACCTATTGGTGGTGTCCATGTGCCATTTTTGCAAACAGAAAAACGACCAGTCAGTGGGTAAGTTTTATGACATTGTAATGCTGCCAGTGTACCAGGACGATGGAAACCTTGACTGGCTTTTCTACTATAATGAATCTGTAATAAATTCTCATTATAACAAATAACGAAACATCAGTGAAGGCAGATGCTGCAGGCGGTATGTACAGTTAAGCGTAGCCTACATAGCCCTCTTCAACATGAAGTATATGTCGACATTGCCCATCGTTTGCATAATCACTGCTGAGACCTGTAATAGCTAATTATCATTAAAAAACAGTTATCTTCATAAACAAATTATATAAAATGTAAACTGATTAGTGATAAAGCAGCAAGAAAGCGTTATAAAGTATGCTAAAGTTCATAGCGACAGTTAGGGTTAGAGCGTGAAAAAGGGTGAAACGTGAGCAGAGAACTGCTTAACCTTTGAATAGTAGGTACCATTTCGGGTAATTTGGAACTCTATTCTTCCTATATGCAACATTAACTACATCTTAAAACTTCATCTATATTCTTTTTTTATTTAAGTTCAGGCCACATTTTATACTTTACACGTATATATACACATTAACATTACACAGTCATTTCGTAACTGCATATTAATTTTACAATAACATAATCAATGTTGTTTTAAACAAAAATTAACGTTTGAAATAACGATGGGAATCAACGATACAAATTTTTAATTTAAAAAAATACTCATTTTTTTTCATTACAGCACCACAAACGATAATTCCGTTGACAGTTTTGAAGATCACAATAATAGCTTACCATAACTGCATACTCCAAGTGACGGTGGTTGCCAAGCTCCATTAGTGCATACAGATGTTGCAGTTCCAGATATCAAATATCCGACATTACATTTTAGCGTAGCAGAAGTACCTTCATTATATGGTCCTATTGCACCTCCCTAAACAGATAAGTGCTCAATTTATAATTCAACAGCTTACCAGAAGCCCTCTTTGCAAGATCAGCGAAACAATAAGCATACCGTTGAATACTGTACATTGCCATTTAGCACTCCAGGAAGAGCAAAAAGGCACTGGTTACCTGAAACTCCTCCACCACCTACACCCGCAACACAAGTTCCCAGCAGCGATGGCTCCCACAAACCTAAGAAAAGACTTATTCATCTTCGCTAAAAACTAGTCCGAAAGCCTGATGGCATAACCAGAAATAGAACTAAAAAAAGAAGTGATTCACAGAATCAAACAATTCTGAAATATGTATCTTGGTAGCATGACGGCTTTAAAGTACCACTTTCCGAAAAGATTGTGAAAGGAAACACCACTATGAAACTAAAAAACAAACCGTTTAAGCATTTTGCCGTTGTTTGTCCGCTAGCAATAAAGCCGAGGTTACAAGTCAGCGTTGCAACAGTGCCTGAGGCGTAAGAACTTGTTAAAGATGCGGGGAAATAAATGATTTCACCATTTAACGGTCCGGCAAGAGCAGTACACTGTCCCATTGTTTCAGTGCCTCCTGTTCCTCCTCCGATGCCTGTGTGTTGAAAATTGGTTAAAAACAACAGTAGTTTTTTGATGTATAATCAGAGTGATGTAGACAAAATTATTTGTATTTTATTGTTGCTTTTCGTATTACGAGAAATGTTAGCAATATAATAAGGATTTAAAAAGAAAAGTGGAAATTCCCCTTGCATCTGTATTGTGTAGAGCATTGTTTATCAAATTTTTTTTAACTTACCGCCTTATTTTAGAGAAGAATTTTTACTATCATTTTTCCTCTCTTTTCTTATCAAACATTCTAATACCTGCTTCTTTTCGGCAACTAGTGGTTATTCCTATAATCGTCTTCAAATCATCAAGCCAGGAATTAAAAAAAACTGTGCTGATGATAGTTTATAATTGCCAATTTCTTACCAAAGTATAGGAGACTTAAAGATTGAGTGACTTGGTTATATTGGAGTATGCTCACAGTTAACCAAGGCTTTCAAGATATGCAAGTCTTAAACTGTTTAATCACCATTTATGGATTTTATTTTTTCCATAGTGCCTCAAAGGCTTTCATCACTTACTCAGTCCAATACCGCTCAAAAGAAAGTAATACCGTTTACTATGACGATTATTTATTTGAAAGAAATAACAGAGAAAGAAAGGACTTGTTCAGCACTCAAACAGAACCCATTAAAAGCTCAGTTTTTTTGCTGCCGAATAACAAAGCATCACCTACCCAGAACACACTGAGCCGTCGTCGCAGGATTCCAAACACCATTCATACATGTACTGGCTGCTGACCCAGAAGCGGTGTAACCGAGGTTACAAATTACTGTTGCGATAGTTCCAGCAGCATATGGTGGTAACAACCCGGTAGAATAACTGATTATTCCGTTCAAAGGTGCTGCCAATCCCGTTGCACATGAAGTCATTCCAACAACTCCATCAGCTAAAAAATTTGAAATTTATTACGAGAATAAAAAACAATTCAAGCTGCAGAACATTCGTCATCAAAATCTGTAAATACTTGGTCCTAAAACACATTCTCCTAGTGTTGCTGGTGACCATAATCCGTTTTGACAAACTGAAGTAGCCGCTCCTGACGCAGTGTACCCTGCGTTGCAGATCATGGTTGCTACTGTTCCGCTAGGAAATGGTCCTATTGTTACAAGATCCGAGTAGGTGACTCTGCCATTTAGAGGAACTGGTAAGGATGCTAGACAACTATTCACGCCTGGAGTTCCATCTGATCCATTTCCTATAAAGTGATGAAATGCAGTGAAAATAAGAACACAGTCAAATGAATATTATCCACTGCAATCACTGCAAATCTAAATAAATTACAGGTTTTAAAATATTAACAAACTTAGTACAACCCTTTCCTTTTTTTTTTACTCCCTTCTACGTCTGTGGTTCAAGTACCTAGTGCATGTATTTAAATGTGCGGTGCTTTATTAAGAATAGAATGCCAAGTGTAAAAACATGCAGAGATGTGAATTTAAAGCATTCTGATCAAACCAGCATCAAATAAAGTAGTAGCGCCAGCGATAACGCATTGAGCGAACATTGGAGGTGACCAAGTGGCTTCCCGACACGTGTACGTAGTTGATCCAGTGGGTGTATAACCAGTATTACAGGATACTGTAGCAATAGTCCCTGACGGAAAAGGCCCAGTGGATTCAGCATTTGAGTAAGTAACGTGACCATGTAACGGTCTTGGAATTCCATTTAGACACTCAGCAACCAGCACTGCATTAAACCCAGCTATAAGATTCCATAATTTTAATAATGCTTATCATACCTTACCAGTACATTTGAAACAGTGTTTTTTATGTTACAGTAAAGGTAGCAACAGCTTGCACTTTTATACAACACTAAAGTCAAAAACTAATATTATGTCTGTAAATCTCTAAAACCCTGTGCTGCTCTCCGCGTAGAATTTGAGTTCTTCATGCAAGGTTGTAATGACGGCGGATCCCACTCGCCATCAACACAAGTCGACGATCCCCCACCGGTGGTGTAACCATCTGGGCATTTAAGCGTTGCTACTGTGCCGGCCGGATAAGAAGCAGACACTTGTTCTAAACATTATAATTAATCCAGTTTCTTCTTTATTCTTTGTTATTTATATGCTAATAAAAACTTCATAAATATTTCGTAACCGCAATGACGTCAGTTTACTGATAAAAATCTAACAAATAATCTTTAAAAACAGTTTCACCTATGTGGTCATTCTTAAATAGTTTTGCAGAATAAATTCAGCACTGCTAAAATTGAAAAATTGCGACAATTTCTTGCTACAATGCAAATGTTTCGAAGATCTCTACCTACACTCAACAGGTTTTCAAAAACCAAATTTTTACCTGTTAGCTTTTTCAGTTTTATTCTAAAAATATTTGTAATCCAAATGTTTTTTCAGTACAGAACGAATAATTAAAAAACTAGTTCCGAGTATGTTACCTTACATGTTTGTCTTCATGATAAATAAGAATAAGTTTTCTACCTTGGCTGTAAGTGACTGAACCACCTGAAGAGTCAGAAAAGTCATGAACGCATGATCCATTACTGCCTACAGATAATACTCCTGGTGATACGGTGACAAGAAATTTTGTTTTCTTGTTCTCAACTTTTTCGGCTAGAACGTCTGGTGTACAAACACCAACTGTTGGTGGATTCCATATAGAGCCTTTGCAAGTGGAACTTACCGATCCTGAATCAGTCCATAAGGTGAAAAAAATAAATGAATTTTCCCATTTTTTCTCAAAGGCCGACAAGAGAAGCAATTTTTTTTCAGGTACACAACCACCTAATTTCTAACTTATCTTTAAAAATTTGAAGGATTAACGAGAGAGCGTACCTTCAGCTGTTAGACCGGGACTGCAAATTAATGTGGCTACAGTGTTCGATGGATATGGACCAAAAATACCGCCGTGACTGTAACTTATAGTACCACCCAATGGAACCGGTATTCCAAAATGGCACTGATTGATTGCCTAAAAAGTTTTCACTACCTGCACAGAATATAAATCCTAAAGCAACAGCTAGACAAATGCTTCTAAAAACTGGAAGCAAAAAAAAACAGAAGTTTCCAGCGTGACTAGATATGATTAATAGATCGTTGAAGCTTCTTTTTGCAAACTTCCTATATTAAAGATTGTAAAGAGCAACTCATACTGGTGTAATATATTTGGTAAAAACGCTTTTTAAAAAACCACTTGTTTAAGTTCCTATATTGTAATACACTGCCGATAAAAAAACTCAAAACATAAATGTCGTAGAAAAAACAAAAATATTCTTTCTAAACAACTAAATAACAGTAAGCGTTAAAAATTTCAAATGAAAGCTTTTTCTCAGACAGACCAACAAAATTAATACCATATTCTACCAAATTTAAAGCAGGCGGATTAACACTTAAATTGAAACACATAAAAGATGTGAAACAAAATCTCAAAAGAAATCAACAAATATATTTCACTATTTGCCAATAAAATTTCAGAAATTATTATTACTTTAAAAATATAATTAATAACAAATAATGTGTTTTCTACCGTTAAATTATCAACAGGTCATGGTTGACAACTTTAAAAAAAGCTGAATAAAGTGAAGACTTTATTTAGCAAACAAATTATAGATTTCACTACAGTAAAAAAATCAGCGTTAGCGAAACAGTATTTTCTTGTCAATTGAAGCCTAATAAAGCCTGCACTTGATACATCTATCTGTAACCAATAAACTGTTGAAGATATTATTTAAAGTTGCAGATAAAAATCGTTTTTTCTTACCATTCTTGTATGGCAAATATGATACCAAAAAGATAATTAATTCTTACCAGTGTGCAACTGCCTATTCCAGGAAAAGGCATCCAACCAGAAGCCTCGCATGTCACAGAATCTAACCCGATAATGTCATATCCAGAAGTACAACGAAGCTGAGCAATTGTCCCAGTTGTTAACTGATTACTCTCTTTTGTAATGTAAGATATCTAAAAACCGTACTAATTGTGTCTAAAGATTAACGAAACTGTCACGTAGATTTATGCTAAATTACTTAAACTATTACCTTTCCGTTCGGTATGTCAGGCAAATTTGTGCATAGCTGTTCGCATTTCCCAAGAGTTTCTGTAGTCCATTGTCCATTCTTTTCACATCTTGCTTGCTGCGTTGGGTTTGAAACTGCATATCCGTCATGGCACCGTAAATGCGCTAAAGTTCCTTCCGGAAATGTGCCAGAACTTTCTTTGCTGTAAACCACTTTGCCGTTTAACGGTGGCAGAATTGGCCAGCATCTGCTATCTGTTTCTAAAAAAAACAGACTTTTTCTACAAACAAGTAGTTTGTACTGATACTCCTTATTTATCGGCGCAAACTACTACTTCCTCTAAACACAAAAATTAAACTATCATTTTAAGAAAAGTAACACAGTCAGCAAGCGGTGACTTACTTTTGATAGACTTTTCGAGAATGCACGGTTCAAAAGCGTCACTTGGGTACCATCCAGTATTTGAGCATGTTAGTTCAGTCGCACCATACGTAGAGTAGCCGGAAGTGCAAAGTAAGGATGCTACACTACCCAACGGAAAAACGTCTGTATTTGCTGGTTGATATTTTATCTAAAACCGAATTCAAACAATTTTGGCTTTTCTTTGAAACAACAATCAAAGTCAAAAAATGTACCTTTCCCTTCACGGGTTCGGAAAGTTTTTTACATCCGCTAATTTTTATGCTGCTGGCTACTTTTTGCGAACCTCCATCAGACCAACCATAACATAACGGGGCCGGTTCACGAAGAAATCCAGGTATTGATGCATTTGCGTCTAACGAATAAGCGTATCCTAAAGCAACTTTGTTAGAACTGTTGGTATTTTATGTAGTCAGCGCGGAACCATAAGTATCTGATTGGTCACAAGAAGTTCTAGCGAATCAGTAATGAAAGAAAACATCACGAACTAGCGACTAAACCGGTGATGTTAGCAAAACGATAGATCGGAACGTCAGCTCCACAGTCACCCTCCACTCGTGCACAGTAAAGTGGTTCGAGTACTGAAAGTTCTGTAAATCCGAATGGAGCTCCAAAAACATTTTCTTGATGCAATATGCCGCCTGAAAAATACATCTTATTATAAACCAAAACCACTTCTTTATCGCTTTATTACGCTTTTGCCGCAGCGTTTCTGCAGTCGAAATAATCAATGTTTAATCAATTTATAGTAAACAGAAAATTAGCAAGTTATTGCAAATATTAAAGCATCTTTTCTAACAAATCAAAATAGGTAAGTTTTGCAAAAACAATTAAGCATCTAGCTTCTTTACTTCATAAAAAGACAAAAATCTTTTTTTATAAAAAAAATTTATTAATGTTGCTACATTTGTATTTCGCATACATATCTTTCTGCTACAAAACAAAGAGATAAGATTACCATCGGTGATGTGTTGATTGGCAGATAACCTAAAGGTACATGTTCCAGGTGGACAGAGTTTTGAAGATCCTTTGCTGAGAAGAACAATGAAAAGGTTTTTGTCATATTCACTCCTCGTATAGCCCTCACTTGACAAATCATTTCCGCCGATGCGAAATTTTGTCAGGTTGTTTAAAGAATTTTTTTGCCATACAGATGCTGCCACTAAAAATACTATCCAAATTACCAACTTTATTGAATATGGCAAAAAAAAAAAAAAAACAGAATGATAATATCAAAAAAATGCAGAACCATGAAACTCAAAATAACAATTACTCCAATTGCTCGGGAGTTTGTAAAGTATCACTGTCTTAATAAAAAAGCAAGTTTTGCAAACACCAAATAAAAAGCTAACCAAGACTTTCCGGTACACCGTCGGTGGGACATAGTAAAGACTGTTGTGCAACCGGTATAAAGAATAATAAGATAAGCGATTTAATCATTTTTATAAGTAATGGTTAAAACGAATACCCTGATTTCTGAAAATGCTGTAGTTGATTGTAAAATATTTAAAAGATCAATACGTGCGAGTTGATTAATAAATCATTCAAATTTCTTTTCCTACGAAAACTTTGTCAACAGAAATAGACTTAAACGAGTACAGCAAAGATATTAACGCATTTAAAATAAACGACGAGATAGCAAGCAATTATATATAAATATGTAGATAATATATATTAAATCGCCTG